AGACATTTAGATTGCTGAGAGCTGTGTGCGTGCACATACACACACACACACACACACACACACACACACACTCACTCACTGAGAACTGTATGATAGAACATCTCCAGAAGGACCAATAAGATATTGATAGCAGTGGTTTCTCACAGAGAAAATCGGGGCACTGAAGAAAATTGGGAAGTTGATGGAGGAGGAAGGTGCTTTTTTACTATAACCTTTTGTGATGGTTAATCATGATTGTCAGCCTGACTGGTTGACAGATTAGTAAAGCTCACTTCAGGTTACATCTCAGTGGGCCAAGAGGGCGCGGATTTGGGGACTACTTCTTGGTGACTTCCTCTCTACACTCTGCCCTGTGTTCTGCGATCTGGTCACTGTGACGTGTGGCTTTGATCCACCATTTCTTTCCACGGTGATGTTCCTGCCTCGGAGTCTACTGACCGTGGACTAAACCCTCTAGAATTATGAGTCAAAATAAACCTCTCATTTTTCAAATTGCAAATGTTGGGTATTTTGTCCCAGCAATGGGAAAGCTGACCAATACATTTAAAAAGAACTTTTCATCTAGAAATTTAGTAAGTATATAACATGATTTTAAGCAATTATCTGATAAATCAAAGCATTGTATGAAAAGCTATGGTATGCTGGTTATAATTTTTCTTTATGTGGACACTTAACAATCAAAATTTGAGTACAGTTATTCAAACCATTTTGAGTTTTTATGCTCTTTTAATCCATATTTTCTATAAGACTAACATAAAACTTTCTCATTTGCTAACTGAAATTTTGATATATGTCATATTTGTGATATTTTCCTGGCTGGACAGTTTGTAAACTTCTTTTAAACAAGACTGATTTCAGAGAGTATCAATTGCATTTTAAAAACTACTCTCTCTTCTAATGACTGCTATTTATGTCTAATCACTTACAAAACATGAATTTGATCAACTGTAGCAGAATTTTTCTCAGGAATGTCAGTTTTTTTTCTTTACCTAAGAATTTTGTCAGACTTTTAAAAAAATCTGTTCATATCTAGTTTTCTGATATCATTCAGTTTCTATTAAAATTAAACATTAAATATTTATCAAGTTGAACAATACAATGGTTCAATTAATCTTTTTTAAAATTCAGCTCATTGATTCACTTCAGATACACACAATGATCATATGCATCATGGGGAATTTGTACCCATACACGATATATTTTCATTCCTCCTCTCTCCCTAATGCCCTCTACTCCCTTCAACCCCCTTTCCCCTGTTTACAAAGCTGTTTCCATCTCATCCTTTTAAAAAATCATTTCTATTTCCTTTTCCTTTCCTTCCTTTTTCTCTCCCCACCTTAGTTCTTCTTTTCCTGGAGCAGCTTCTTCTCCTTTCATAATATCTATTGCACAGTTTCATCCTTCTTTACTCTTTCAGTTTCTCATACCAGGGAGATAATGCGATGTTTACACATGTGAGTCTGATGTATTTCACTTAAGAGTATGGTCTCAAGTTGCATCTGTTTACCTAGAAATGCCTCAAATTTATCCTACTTTATGTTTGATTTCTTTTTTTAAAAATTTTTTTGGTAATGATCATTGTTTTTTAAACATTAATTAATTAATTAATTAATTAATATTATTATTATTATTATTATTTTTTTACATCTGTGGTGCTGGGGATTGAACCCCAGGACCTTGTCCATGCAAGGCAAGAGCTCTACCACCAAGCCACATTCCCCAGCCCATGTTTGATTTCTTGGTAATAGCCATTCTTTCTGGAGTGAGATGGAATTTCAGCACTGTTTTAATTTGCATTTCTCTAATAACCAGTGATGTTGAACCGTTGTGAATATTTAAAAGTTTAAAAAAAGCCCACATATTGTATATTGTATTACTTTTCAAAATAATGAAGCAGAATATTCCATTATATAAAAAAAACCCTGCATCTTCTTTATCCACTCATCGGTTGATGGGCATTTGGGTTGTTTCCAAGACTTAGCTATTACAAACTGTGCTACACATATATCACTGTGGTACAGTGTTTTTAGTTCTTCTGGGATGATACCCAGAAGGGGAGTAGCTGGGTCAAATGGGACCTCTAATCTGAGTATGTTTAAGAACCTCCATACTGCTTTCCACAGTGGTTGCACCAGTCTGCACACCTATCAACAATTGAGAAGTGTTCCTTTTCCCCCACAGCCCCTGTAACATTTGTTATTGGTTGATTTTTTTCCCCCAAGATAGCTATTCTTTCTGGGGTGAGATGGAATCTCAGTGTTTTTTTAATTTGCATTTCTCAGATGACCAGTGACATTAAACATTTTTGAATATTTAAAAGCTTCAAAAATCCATGTATTACATATTGTATTATTTTTCAAAATAATGAAACAGAATATTCCAAACCTATGTATGGCACTTACAATGTGCTAGGCAGTGTGCTAAATGCTTTATGTGTATTTACTATAATTTTTATAAAAATCCTACAGTGCAGGCATCGCTGTATATCATGTTGACTTTATAGATGAAGAAACTGAGATACAGAGAGCTTAAGTAAGCTGTTCAAGATCACACAGCTAATGTAGAGTTGGGATCTAGATGCAGAGCTTCTGGACCTGATGTCTTTCCTCCTTTTGCTACAGAACACTACTTGCCAAAAATAAATATACTCAGTTACTTGCTCATAACTGAGTTAGAACAGATAAAATTGTCCCTTCTTTTTCTCACATGATTTATAAGGGCAATAGGGCAGAGAATACGGTGGCTTGAAATAACCAAAATACAATTCACCTGCAATCTTAAACATGTGCAGCTGTAGGGGGCTTCCACATTGTGTGAACATCAGTTCATTATAATGACTTTGGCCAAGCTGCTTAATCTTTCTGAGCCTTAGCAGCTACTGTATACCAAGTGCTCTGTTAAGCTTTGGGGAAACTAGGGAATAAAATAGAGTCCTGGCTCTCAATACACTTACTGCTTCCTGGCAGAAAGACAACAAACAGTCTCACCAATTGTAACTAAAGGGTGTTTTGAGAGGTGAGGTTGGGACTCTGATGTATACTGGATCACTAGGAAGTTTCCTTAAATACCATGCAGAAGAAAGGCAAGCAGTGGAGCTGGGAGAAATGGAGGGGGCAAAAGGAAGGAAAAGGGTTCTGGCACAGCTACAGCAAAGGCCCTGAGGCTGAGAAGAGGTGTCCGTCTGAAGACAGAAAGGCCCACATGGCTAATGTGAGCCTGGAGCAAGAACAAATCATGGAGACTGTGGTAAGGGCATCATAATTGTCCTAAGAGTCCTAGTAAACCACTAAGGTCACAAGCAAGAGTGACACAACCTGATTTACTTTTTAAAGAAGATACGCGGGTTGCACTGTGGAAAGTATGCATAGGTGACAGAGGCAATGGAAGCAGCGGAAGACCAGGGAGGAAGCTTGGGAGGAAGTGAGGATGGCAGCTTGGGAGGAAGCACTGGCAGATGAGAGAAGTAGATATGTCTGAGATCTGTATTGGTGGCACAATATTTTGTGAAAGGAGAAAAACATTAGCTATGAAGTGTTACTGTGAAGAGTAATCTTACAGGTGTGCAAAGGCTTTGTCAACTGTACAATGCCCCACAAAGAGAAGTATTATACTGATGAAAAACCCAGGTTCTAGAGAAGCCCTGTCTTTTCCAAAGCCATGTGACTTCTCAGTGGCCAGGAGGACAGAGTGACAATAGCTGGCCTGAGGTTCCTGCACTCCTTTCTCCGGGGTGTACACCATGGGAAAGAAAAGGAAACGGGTGAGCACGTCTAACCCGTTCATCAAACGAGCCTCAGGAGTACGAGTAGCCGCGTTTGGGATGTCCCTGGCGGGTTACCTCGAGCAAGTAGAACCCGAATCCTTTGGTAACACCACGTCAGCTATACAACTCTCTGGGGTGTAACAGGGAGATGTCTCGTAACCAAGTGCTCCATGCTGTGCAGCGGGAGGTGACCCTGTGATCTTCACCTGCTATTCTGGCTGACAGGTGTGTGTCCAACGAGGGCAGATAGGACCTGGGGAGCTGCTCTTGGGATCCCAGATTCTTTATGTTGTATGAATCTATTGATTGCTGTACCTTTGCAATTAGCCAAAGTTTGATATTGTAAGAACTCTGAGGTCCATGGCATGCTTGATAATCAGATCTTATGTGTTGTTCAGTAGCACAAACCTATTTCTCAGGCCACACTCTTCCTATGATCCCTGCTAACCTCCATACAACATCAGGCCCAATTACACTACCCAGGGGTGAATACAGACAGACTTGGTTATATCTGAACCCTATGTTGTGGCAAAGCTCTGATATTTATTTGACATATGGATGTCTAACTACTGGAAAAATTCATTTTTAAACACTTACGTAGTTGAAGAAACGTGATATATTTGGTTTCCTTGTGACCAGGTAAACTGAAAGGAAATAATACTGGAGGGATGATTCTTACGACGACCCCAAGAGGTAAACCAAGCCTTCTTGGTCTCCAGAGACTGTTAAGCAATTATCTTAGGGCTAAGCATGTTTAGATGCTCACTTCTCCCCTTCCCCAAATGACAAAGGATCAGCATGATGTCAATGTACTGCTGTGAACATCATTCCCTACGCTACTCATGGTCCTCCTAAATCAGGGAGTTCTTTTTCTTCTTTTTGAGGAGTGCAATTTATCTTCACACACAATTTTGTTTTGAAAGTTAGAAAGGATGATGAAGGAAAACTGTTACTCTAGTGGCATGGAGGGGAAACCTTTTCATTCTCTGCTGCATAATAAACTCTGTTTGTGCCAGAGGCATCAAAAGACAGAATCAGCACAGGGGTCTCTCATCTTACTCCTGGTACCAAACTACCCGTCATGAACTGAGCCGTGACAGATAAAGCATGGCAAATGGTCAGGGCTTCCTCTGGCAGATGCTAACCAGGAGGAGGCTAGCAGGCTTGTGTGACAACAGCAAAGCCTCCCTCACGCTCTTTCCCCCAAGCAAGCTCCCGAACAAAGCCTGACGTTTACCTTCAGCAAGCGGGTCCAGAGTGTGGATCATAAGCTGGAAGATGCTGTTCCTCATGAGACTGTTGTGCAGGGAGGCAGAACTTCCGCCCCTCTGGAGGCGCGGCTTAGCCTGAGTGGAGAAACCAAAGAGGCTGTTATTTTTCAGCAAGGAGTGGCAAGTGCGTTATAGATAAGATCCTCACCTCAGCTGGTGGTCATTCATCTCTGACACATGATCACGCACGACTGAATCAAAGATTTTCACAGTACGTTTCAAACCTCCAGAGGAAATGGCTATCTTACATCCTTTCCTACCACATGGATGAATTGCTTCCGTTTTTTTTAGAGCTTAGTAAATACCAGGCAATGTGTGACATGCTCCACACCATTCACCTCATTCTCAGTATTAACTTCAGGTAGATGTGGAGATTTGGCTTCAGAGAAGTAAAATGAGGGGTCCAGGCCTCAGAGACAAAACGTGAATATCAGAGTCATGGGTCTCAGGTTTGCTTTTCTCAAAGGTTCTTACTAAGTTAGTGGATATTCTCAAAGTTTTTTGGATTGTACATCCTATGAGTACAATCTTTGAGTGTGTATATTTGTATCTATATCAATACTCATATTTGTATAGACATATATACTAAAATATGAGCAGCTAAAACTTTTTTTTAAAAGTACAGAAGGTGAATGACAGAGCCCTAATATTTTCTCTTTGTTTCCCAAAGGGTCACCTTGCATGTCTCCTGTAGAACCTCACTCCGCCCTGTGTAAGTGATGTCCGAGGAAATGGAGCTTCTTATCATGAACCCATGGAGGGCACTCTCGGCTTCAAGATGGATTCCTTTGCACAAACTCCTACTAGTTGCCATCTTTTGCCCAAATAAATGGAACTGAGATGTGAGAAATGACTTCTGAAGATGAAGTTATCCCAAAACTCTTTTATCTTTAAAAGCAAACATTCTTAAAAGAAGCTCCTTCCCAAACCCACCATATTTGGACAGATTTTCATCCTAAATAGAAACTGCTTTCTTCCCTTTGCTGATTTTATGCCGTTTGTCACAGGCAAGATCCTCAGAGGTAGCCAAGCTTTACAGACGGATTTAAGGTGACAGGGAGGTATAATACATAATTTCTTATTGAAATTTGGTTCAAAAGCTAAATATGGAATATCAGGTAAAAATAAAATACTATTTTCCTCTAAGTCTTCCAGCCATCTATGTTGTTGGATTTTCCCGAATATTCGATTACATTTTATACCCACGAGGGGCTTCTCAACAAAAACCCCATGAGAGACTCCATGATTAAACAGACTTTCAAGGTGCTGTGCTCAAGAACTCATCCTTGCACTTTCTGGGCACCCATTAGACCACTATGTCTCTGCTACAGAAATACGACTAACTGGATTAACTTGGGCAGTCTCTTCAAACTATCAGCCTTATTTTAAAGGTCAAACTATTGCTCCTCATTTTAAAAAATATTTGTTAACTATCTTGGTCCACACTTGGTGGTAAATGTGAAGCCCATGGCGAGCTTGAAGTATGAGTAAACTCTCAGTGTGAGGTATGTGGAAAAATATGACTTTCTTCATGTGATTTTATGTAATTGATGGTTTATTAAAATTATATTCTCATCAGAGTTCAGAGAAGAGTCAGAGGGGATTGCCGGTGCCTCGGTGGTGAGGGAGACCATGAACTCGAAGGAAGAGGCTGAGGATTTTGCCCAGAACCTAGTAGTATATTTGGCAAATCCCATGAGCTCTCAATGAACATCTTATTCCAACCTGGAAGGACCAGGCTGTATCTTCATTACTATTAGTCTTTTTAGCATTAAAAGTCTGTAATATTTTTAGATGCATTGTGCTATTGAGCTATAGTGGATTCAAATTATTAAGGTTCAAATATTTTAGGGGCAAGGTTAGGAAACCTGAATAGAATTGAAACATAATCACTGATGACTGAACACAAAAACTTAGTTCACTTCCTTGCCATGTTGCACAATCTGAAATGTGACGTGTTAATTGGATAGGAAGCAAAAATGTGCTTTCTGTTAATAACTTGTCAAACCATTTTTCCTATGGTCCTTATTCTGGGAAAGTGGAAGAACTGTGCTGTGGGTATCTCCATCAAAATCAGATTATATCTACAGAAGAACCTAAAGCATTTTTTCAGGCATTATGTATATATATTGAATATATAAGTCTCATGCAACATTTCTTTTGATGGGTCCAAAAGAAATTTTCAATCAAAAGGTGTGTGCATGCAGATAAACAAAGAAAACAGTTATCAAGCATCAGATTCCACACTGTCCTCAAATATCAGCTTAACATCCCTTGGAATGTAATTTGGAAATTTCTTACTCTTTCAGCTCATATAATAGTTTAGCCCAACAGAAGAGAGCAACCTTTTGAAACCCAGGACCAGAAATAGCATGTCAGCGAATGCCAGAATCCAGGAGTTACTGAGTGTAGCACAGAGTATACACACAGCCCAGTGGCTTAAGCTCGACACGTATTCCAAGGGAGAAGATGATCTGCTGAGCACACGCGCCCCGGCACCCACCCCGTCCCACATTTTCCACAGGCACAGGAACACGCAACAGGGCCGTTGCTTCCTACCGGCAGAGCTGGTTCATCCTTGTCTCCGGCTGTAGAAGACTGCGTAAGAGGAAAAGGCAAAAACAAAAAACAAATAAATAAGTGACAAATTACATACAGGGTTTACATTTAACAACAAGCATGAGTAACGGGAAAGATTTTGTCCTTTCTGTCCCCAGGACAAGTTACGCCAAAACGTATTTCTAGCCAATACACAATGGTTTATTTAGGCACATGGTCCATTCTCTTGAAAGGTCAAAGCTAAACAGTCAGCTGAGATGCCCCACGTCAGAGGTCAGTAATATTAATAATGGCCCAGCCGTGCAACGGGACACCAGGCGGTCATCAGGGTGAAAGAGTGGAATTCACGTGCACTGAAACTGAAAATATCTAAGATGCACTGCTAAGAGAAAACATATTTGAAAACACTGCCACTTTTCATGAAAGTACATCAGTAATACTTTAGTGTATTTAAAGAAAGAATTATGCAAGAATGAGCTGTGTTGGTGGTTATTGTTGGGAGGACTGGATGAAAAGGAGATATTGCGTTCTGTGCACTGAGAGAGTCAGTACTCATCACCCCACAAATGATGGACAGAATGAAAACTTAACAAGTTAGGCGGCTGAATTAAAGACCAAGATTATCACACGTGAAGTTCAGAGAATCTTCCTTTTCTCCTGTCCGTAACACTTCAAATTTTCCCTTCTAATAAGTGGAAAGGATTGTCAGAGCGTGAGAGCACGTGAGGATCTGGCTATCTGCTGGGAGAGGACACAACTAAGATAAGGGGACACTGGAATTCCACCGTGATCCAACTTAGTGGCTTTGCTTTCCCAACTCAAAGAGAACTCTCCTTTCTTTCACAGGATCAGGGCACCATCTGAGGATCTCTCTAGGGATGTACAAGGGCCTGTGAATTTCCTCATTTTAGACTACTACTTTTACCACTGTGGGGCCTTACAGAAGAATAAGCCAGAACTTCTCTCTCCCCGTCTTGTACTCTGGTCCTCCCTGCTCTTGGCTGAACACGTACGCTCTGCAGGAATAATCACACACATGGAAAAGGGGGGACGGGTGCAAAGCTGTTTTAAAACCTGCAAGGGCTGCAGGCTCTTTTTTAGGTCCTACCACATATGTCATATGAAGTATGTTAAAGATGCTCCCACGTACCGCACAAAATGCACATTCCTGTGTAAAAAATTCTAATTTTGAATTTTAAAGTGCAGGCTTTCATTTACAGTTAGCATCCTCAAAATCTTGGAAAGTGAGAAAACTGAATCCATAATTTGTTTTCACAAGTAATAAAATTTTCACAAAGGGCAAATTTAATTCTAACTGAGGTTGATATTAAATATGTTGTAAATATTTTTGTTGATATTAAATATTCACTTAAACTAATAATGTTGATATTTGTAGAAGTGAATTTCTCTTTTACTTTGGAATCACTCTACTACACTTTAGTAGCTCCAAATATTTTTATACAGTTGCAAAACCTTTGAGTATTGGACAGACAGAAGGGCTCTGGGTTGGTGGTCATTTCTGAGCACGTGCTGTGGGCATCGCTAAGTTTGCCTTCAGCTCTTGATTTAGGGCTCTCTCTCAATGATGTGTCTAATGAGAAAATATCCCTTGATACCCTAGTTCCCAGAACGTGCTTGGAAACTGGAGTGGACCAGAAATTGTCCTTTGGTTTTCCGTGCTCTGAAAGGAACCCTATGAGCGCGCTTCTCTTTCGCGGATGCTTTCATTTTCTCTCCTTCCACATCAGACAGCTCACGAATGACCCCACATTCTATGGAACAATCCCCCAGGGAAATTTTCCAGTGCGGCGAGCTCAGCCCTTGGACATACGTGGAGATTAAGTGTCAGAGCATGCCTTCTCAGTTAGCAAATTTGTACCTTGTGGCTAAATGGGAGACAAATAATTATGAGCAGGTACTGATAGTCCAGTGATACCCCAGAACATGAAGGAACAGGCGGAAACTGAGAGGGGAGGTTTCAGAAAAGCAAACATAATCACCAACTGAGAGTCTGAGTTAAAAAAATACATTTAAAGAAATTATTTTAGGAAAGAAGAAAACATTCAAACCTGTCTTTGGTCTGCCAGAAAGAAAGAATATCTACCCCATTGCCTGCCTTTTCCCCGCTCAAAGGTAGGAGGATCATAAAGCACAGTAACTGGAAGGAAAGTGCTTTGTACATACATCCTACAAAGAAAATACCAAGTGCACAGAAAGGTCTGAAATTCCTTACAAAATTTCCCGCTGTTTAATGTCAACCAAAGTTGACATCGTTAGTTTTCTTTCACGTGTGATTTGCAGACATGAATATACATCAGGTTACAGCACGTACATTTAGGTAGACACACAAGTGGCGGTCGAGGCCATCTAAAATGCCTCTCTGTTTTTCTTTTATGCAGCCCTGTGTGACATGTGATGATAACTGCTCATTTTCAGGGGCTCACCCACATTTACCGATAACGCCTGATGTTCACCTGACTCAGGCTTGCTCTAATTGCATCCCGAAGCAGCCTTGTATCCCTGGCAATGTGCCGCTGATTTTGTCAGGAATTCAATTTTAAAAGGGTTCTAATTATACTGGAAGCAATAGGGGATGGTAATAAAGAAACAGTCTTAGTGTGTATAGCCAATGGGTTTGAGGTTGGTTTTGGTGTCGTGAATGTATTTTCTGGGCCACTGGACATCTGTGAGTTATTCTACTGGATATTACAGAAGATAACTTCTTCAAAAGAGGACTGATAAGACTTTAATCTTGGCATTCTTATTATGTGCTTTATTTTTAATCCTTTAAGTTAATCATTTATTATTATACCAGCCACTTTTAAAACCATCTATTATTACGTGGTGCATCACAATACACTAAAATATTATTAATTTGAGCTCTACTAACGTGAAAGCTCAATTCTTGACGGCCAGGCTTAAAGGCTATGACAGTTATAGGAAAAATTTGTTAAGCCATTCTGTAGCATACAAAGCAGTTCTTGAGGATTATTAAAAGAGTTCATGAAGTCAGTGGGCAGGGGCCTTGGCACACCAGGGCAGACTTCCCCATCCACAGTGACAGCGGGGCTTCAACCAGGCAGGATGTGCGTAGTGTACCTTTTACTCACAAGAAAGCCTCCTGTAATTCACTCTTCACTCAGTTTAGACCAGCCCCTCCTCCGTTACCCCAAGTCAATCATGTGGTGATTCTGCTGAGATCGAGCAACTGGAACGAGCCCACTAATATCTGCTGTCCTTCCTGGTGGAAATCCCAATTCTACATGGGAATTCTGCTACTTAGCTCATAATTGTTTTGAAAGTGCTCCATTTTTTCCCTTAGATAAAAATACAAACCATCTGGAAGCAGTTTTTAGTGATAGAAATCATCCTCAAATCCTTTGTCCCCTTCCCTTCAGCCTGGGAGAGGCACTGACTGGAAAATGACTTTGTGGAATCTAAACTGTGGTTTTGGTGTCACTTCGTACAGAGCTTTACCAAACACACAGGAGCGCATTCCTAGCCCTCTGCACGTTACATTAGTCAAATGTTGCACAGCGGAGCTGTTAGGACCGCTCAGCGTGAGGGTTCTAGCATGCCTGGAGCTCTCTGCCTAGGAAGTGATACCTACAAATCACACATCAAATGTGTCACCATGGAGATCTCATACGCCAAAAAGCTAGTGTGAAAATAGGGGGTGGTTTTCCTGGCCACTGATTTGGTACCAGATACAAAGGAAAGACAAGCATTTTGTTAGAAAAGTTCAGCAAAAACACTAACTTCTTTCATCATAACCTTCTACCAAGTCTTGTGAAATGTCCTTAAATGAACTATGCCAAAGTCCCAGTAGGACAACAAAACCTATGAAGATAAAACTAAAAATATTATTCTGTCATAAATGTGATTCAAACCAAATAGGCCTGTGATTAAAATTATTAATCCAATGCTTAATTGACATTAATTTTACTTTTTTTTTTTTTTTTTTTTTTTTTTTTTTTTTTTTTTAGACAGACTCTCCCTGTGAGTGTAAGTTGGCCTTGAACTTGCTTATGTAGCCCAGGCTGGCCTCAAATTCACAGTGACCTTCTTGCCTCAGCCTCCTGAGTGCCGGATTACAGGTGTGCACCACCACACCCGGCTAATTGACATTAACGTTAATGTCTTAGAATTCAGGAAGGTTGGATGATGGACGATTTGATTGGTTATTTTCATTTAAAAGTTAACACGGAAATGTGAAATAACATTTCCTTTTCTTTCAAAACATTTATATGTAATAAATAAAAACATTCAAAATGTTTCTCCTGATTAAAGATGAATATTGCTCAAAGCCTGTAGGGAAGATATGATAGAAGATGCAAAACCTCCTAAGTAAAGTCTAAAAGGGAAAAAGTCCCTGCCATCTCTCTTCCTAAAACAAAAAGGGAAGAGAGATTAAGTACATTCCTAAAGAAAGATATACTACGATGTAAATTCAAATTACCACTGGTTTGCTAGGTAATTATTCTACAACCCTAGTCCTTTAGGAAAACAGGAATCTCAAAGATTCCTGATGTGTTGGAGGGGCAGCCAAGGGTGCAGGGGTGGCCATTCCAAAGTCTTGCTTTAACAAAATGGAGAGAAAGGGCAGAATAACCAAACTTTCTTTTTTTTGTTTGTTTTTTTTTTCTGGTACCAGGAATCGAACTCACGACCTTGTGCTTGCCAGGCAGGCGCTGCGCCACTGAGCTAAATCCCCAGCCCACCAAACTTTCATTTGTGTGCATTTTTGACTTTGATTAGCACATGTTTGCAGTACATAATGACTGCATTCACCTTAGGGAATTGGTACATGTACATGACACATAAAGAAAGACCTTTGATCTTTGAATAATCTCCAGGATCATAGAATATTTGGGATAGTAGACAGCAGGTATCCCAAAGTGGAAGGAGTAGAAGAGAAATTTCCTGGACTAATAGAAAGACTGAAAGAATAGTATCTTGTCTCTTAAGTAGTTGTATAAGAGAAAAATAAAGTAGGATGAGTGGTATCACATGGAATTCAGGGCCAGACCGCTGGGGTT